TTTGTGAACACCTTTCTACCATCTACAAACACATTCACACACACAGACTGTACACAGTGCATAGGCCTTGTTCTTTATTGATTCACAGGAAAACACAAAAAGGACAGGTCTGTTTCTCAAAAACTGGATTGTAGATATCTATAATGATGTGTACCTCCAATACCCTAGATTCACACAATTATACACTCTTTAGGCTTTAACTAGACATTTTTGTTGCTATAACAACAATCTATAATAATAATAATCTTATACTCAAAAAAAGATCTGTTTAAAATGAGAACATTTTGCAACAACAAGTGACTCAAAACTGTCACACTGAGCAGATTGGTTTGGGGCAGTGACAGCGATACGCTGCTGCAGGTGTCCATGCGTGTTTCATTCATTCAAAGTTTCAGTGATGGCTAGCGGCTGGTCCATGTGACTCTGCTGCACGTTCACACACACACACAGACACACTCACTCACTTGTAAACTGGAACATAGTGTTCTTGGGCAGATGGTCTTGTGTTGTCACATTCAGGCTGACCTGCAGAGTAACGGGGTGACTGTTGCCCACGGGCCGGCACCCTCACAGGCTTTGGCCTTTCATTAAATTTTTACAGCACAAGAATATCTGCTTTGATGACTAACCAGCAAAGGAAGCAACCATGTTGAACTATTGTTTTTATTCAGTATAGTATATGTGAGATCGGCCTTATCACGGGGTCGGAAAACACACTGTACAAACTACATCTTTTCCAGTATAACCCAGCTTTTACCCTACTGCTACTGGAGGTGTTTTGTAGTAAATCATCAAACTGTCATGATTCAGCTGGCAGGGCAGTGAGATCCAGGAGGTATGGAGAGGAGACTTGGTTGCCGACGGGTCCGGTTTGAGTTCCTGAGCACAGGAGACACAGGTTAATGACAGGTTGGCAAACTGAACTGACTACAGGGCCGTTTTAGGGCACAGATGAGCTAGCCAGTCAACTAGGGCACCACCAACAGACCAACATTACTTGTAAAAGTCCAACACACCAACATCTACTTGTAAAAGTCTGTTAAGCTCATGACAGTGCTCACGTTACATTTGTAAATAAACCAGTAGTGGAAGAAGTACTCAATTTTCATACTTAAGTAAAAGTACAGATACCACATGAAAATAGTTACTCAAGTAAAAGTAAAAGTCATCCAGTGTAAACCTCAAGTAAAAAAGTACCTGGTTTTAAAAATAATTAAAAGTAAAAGTACTACACATAAAAATCTATTGATCTTACAAAATGTAGTCTATCTTTTTAAATTCACTCAAGGCAGCATTATAAAGTATAGTGAATCACAATAAAGAAAACCGAGTCGCAAGAGGACAAGTAGGATAAGTCTGCGTTGTTGCTCTGCTGTTGTTGTAGTATCCCCTTCAGCCTGTCTGACAGACACAGAACGCCGCTAAGATGAAACCAAAACGAATTGAAACACTTCTCAATTCACAATCTCACCCACACATGTTAACTTCAGCACCTCTCATAAAGTGCAGCTCACAGTCCCAAACGGAGCAAAGGTGGCTTCAGTTTTTAGAAGTTTATATTGCAAAACCCTACCAGCTACGTTACCACCCAGTAGAAAAACAGAGCTGCTGCACAGTCACCCCTGACACCACAATGCTCTCACTACAATCCTCCCTCTGTAAGAACCTGAATAGAAGCCTCTTCTAGAAAAACCCAGTACTAGTTTGAATGGACCTCTGTGCACTAACTCAGACCTCATGAAGTCTGATAAGACTGGGGGCCAATCTGCTGGGTCATTGTGTCATGTGCCTGTGTTTGACCTGGGTCTGTGGGACTTGCTAAAGACGTCTGGACTGGGTCTGTGCTGGTACTGGCTGAGGCTGGATGTGGATCAACTGTGCTGGTACTGGCTGACTGGCTGGAGTCTGTTCCTATACTGGCTGCTGACATACTCTAGTGACAAACTTGAGCACAGCCCCTGTAAATTATAGATGTTATCAGCTGCATCGGGCCCATTCAAACGGGCTCCTCCAGGTTTCCTTCAATACATTTTCAAATATAAAAAACTATTTATAAAATGATTTGGCTGAATATGATGCTTATTATTTACTGAGATGTGCGTCTGTTTTGCCCAGTCTGTCCTGCTAATCAACATTTTATATTCAACGTGAATCCACTGCTTTCCATCTTGCATTAGTCCATAACTAAACTTCACTGTCTTGTTTTAAAAAGATGTATGAGGAGTGTCATTACATCCTGTCTGGACTGGACTAGAGAAATTCACTGCAGCTGAACATTAACATAACAGTTAGGCTATCTGCTGACCTCAGACTTTGAGAGAAGAGAACAGGTTTACCTGATGTTCAGTTTCATTGAGTTTTTTCTTTTCTCGTTCCCAAAAGGAGGAGGTTTCGTGCAGAATGTTACGGAATAAAAAGTATGATATTTGGCTTTGAAATGTAGCGAAGTGAAAGTAAAAAGTTGCAACAACTAAAAATACTCAAGTAAAGTACAGATACCTAAAAAAACTACTTAAATACAGTAACGAAGTACTTATACTTTGAGAGTGACCTGATTTCTATCACTACGTAGTACTTGTACTTTGTTACTTTTCCACTGAAATAAACTCTGGGTTGCAATGTACAACTGATTTTTCAGTCACAGTTGGGGGTGCTGAGAGAAGGTGAGCCTTTATAATGACGTCATACCAAATGGTGCAGTTTTTCTGTATTAATTTGAATGGCCAGAATACAGAAGCAGGCCATAAAGAGAAGTGGGGAGTTGTACTATAAGTAATAGTAATATATGTATTTTAAGCAATATGTCCTGCTGTGGACAGGGTCGGCAGCAATGCTTATTTTAGGCATGTATAATGTATGTATAATCTTACTCTTGTGATTAAAAGTTTTATAAAGAATTCTGATAATCCACAAAATGTGCAACTTATAAAGGGAAAACTTCTTGTAGCTTGCAACAAAACAGGAAGTTATATCTCCACCTATATGACATCATGTTTGTCTGACTTGGATTGTGATTGTGTGATTTTTATATATATATAAACACCAACGTAGAGTCATTGATGGTCAAACAGTTTTTCTATATTCCCCAAGAGCTTCTTATATAAACAATATGGTTAAATCTCTCATGTGCGACCGGACCTTTGGGCCTACATGGAACCTTGCTGTTTTCCCCCTTCTATGTGTCCTTTCAGTTTCCCTGTTTGTTTCTCTGTCTGGTGTTGTATAGTCTGTTTGGGTGTTGGGCAAGTCGACCTAATGTTAGTGCAAGATGAAAATATAGGGAACACATGTTCCTGCTCCTGCTGCCAACCTGCTCCACATCCACTAATCAAAATGCTGCAGTATATCAACCCCAGCTCTTTACTTCATTCTCCACCACATCACTTTCTCTAGTTCAAGTACTTCTTTGTGATTTTCCTGCGATCGTCGATCTAACCTGTGTAACCTTAAGTTCACTACTCCCCTGGAATCTCCGTTTCTTGCCTCACTCTGTGGCTAAAACTCACCTTATCTTCCCTGCTATTCCTGGTCTGCAGGGACGTGCACAGACATTTTGAGGGGGCAGGGGCTCAAACAAAATGATAAATATATCAATGCAACTCTGAATTCCTTACCAGTTTATTTTAAATACTCAACAGATTTCTACAAAATAATCAGTTCACGCAGAGACCAACTTCTTTAGTATGCATTTGGTTTATCACAAGAACAGGCAACAGCAAAGGAAACTATGCTATGCTACTACTGTACGCTGTAGTAGAGTAGAAAGGCAGTTCTTTCATTTCTGGTGATTATTTCCAGAGGAACCAGATTTTCTGTCAGGATATAGTGATAGTTTCAGCAAATATGCTAAAGTATTTTTTAATAAATGTTACCTACTGAACCTTAGAGGACCCAGAGGTTGGATATGTGATTAGTACCATGATATAGAGTGAACAACACAGCAAGTAATGTAACTAACGTTAGCTAGGTTGTAGGTTAGCAAACTGTGGCTATAGTTGCTGCTGTGAAGCTAATATGCAGAGGATGAGATGGGATGAGATGGGAAATAGGAGAGGAGGGACACAAAAAACTTTGGGTGGACAGCGATACAAAAAGCAACAGACCTTATAGTAGACAAATCAAACTTTAGCCCAACTTTATTTTGAATTCACATACCATACAGGCATTTATTAACAGTTACCACAGTTACATTCAGATCTACACATATGCATCAAAGAGATTAGTTAATACAATCGGAGTAGCATTTATTGTTCCAGTGTTACATATCAGATGACTTATCTGTTTACACAGGAGAAATGCTCGCAATTTTGTTCGCAGTGCAGTGGATAGAGGATGGAAGACCATTGAGAACAATCATTTGTTCAGTTTTAAGTTCATCATTAGCCAGTTAACAGAACAGTCATTCAGACAGCAGACCAGACATTTCGATGGAAGTACAACAAACTTTAGGCTATACAGAGTTCAAATGATGGGTCTTCCAGTTTAATGGGTAGGTCTACCAGCACATATTGGCAATGGCATCAAATGAAATTGCAAAAATGACAACATTGATGCGGTAGTTAGCTTCAGTAAAACAGAAATCAAGAGCATTATTAAACCGAGATTGAAGGAAAGTCGGCAAAAGCAGTGGGGGGAAGAGAGGAAAGGACGGAGGTTTTACAGAGATCAGTTCAGGAAAAACTGAGACGAAGGAACACAAGAGATGAGGCAATATCAAGACTTAGATTTGGACACACTGGACTAAACAGTAACATTATTTAAATTAGGTAAACATAATTCATTTGCAGTTGTGACTACTGTGAGCAAAAAAGGCAGCTGAATTAAAATTACACTTTGATTTAATAGATATTCTGAAAAAGAAATAACTAATATGACTGAGAGTTTATGTTTTATAATGTAAGGACCGTAGACTGTATATAAAAGGTGAGGACTAGTCATTTTGATCCGCACTCCATACCAGTTGGAGGCGGTAATGAACGTTGTTTGAGAACCGCCAACAAAACTCAACAAGAAGAAGAAGAGCGGCAAGATGGCGGCGCCCACAACAGTGCAGCAGACGATGAACCAACTGACAGATCATTTTGTAAACTCTGTTTACACAACCAGCCAAGACAGCAAATCATCTCCAGCGGATTCTGTAAAACTACAGGACTATGTAATGGATTTCTTGGAGAAAGAGGTGGGCAGCGACCTGAAGTCGCTGAAGAATGTTGGCGACCTGCTGGAAAAAATTAGAGAGGAAAACAACGTCCTGGAGGAGCAGGCGAGTAAACTGCTCTGACAGTCTTTAGCATGCAGCAAAAAAAAACCCAAGCAAAAACAGGCCTCCTTGTGTATCTATTAAATGCATGTTAATAGATTTCTTACGGTTAACTCACAATATTCACACTTCCCAGCTGATACACGTAACTGCTTAGCGTCATTTTACCCAGCACCACTCTGTGGACACGCACTTGCCACGTCGCGCTTGCAACACAACAACAAGCCCAGTGACACTGACGGACAACCGAGAGCCACCCAAACGCTCAGGCGCCACTGCATGAGAACACTTGATGCGCTCATCCCTGTGCTGTTCAGCAGACAGTTTTCCTGAGAAAACTCCTATAATTGCTAGAGACCCCTGCTTTCAGCTCCAGACGCTTTGTTATGCTACCCCTCTCCAAAATGCTTCACTCAGCCAGCTCCCGATTACTTGAGTAAATCAGGCCACTCACAATCTGCAGTATTACTATTAATTTCATACATTTCATTAAATAACTAAATAAAACAGTAAAAGTTGTTTGTGTGTTCATAAAAAAATAAAATAAATGTAAAAATTCCGTCAAACTATATAAATTAAACCGCAAGCCTGTGTATGTGTGTGTGTGTGTGTGTGTGTGTGTTTAAAAAAAAGAAAAAAAAAAATGTATATATATTAAAAATTCTAACACATAAATGAAACGGTTATGTGTGTTATTATAATAATACATTAAAAATCGTAAACGTGTGTGTATATTAATAGACAGTAAAAATTATTATTAATTCATTTAAAAAAAAAATCTATTTCAAATGTGAAATTTAAAAACAAAACAATTAATAAAATATCAAACAATCAAAATAATACTAATTTGAAAATTAGTACATTTATTTATCAGTCTGACTTTCCACTGGTTGTCCTCAGTTCGTGGCATGAGGAGACATATTTTGCAGCAATTATTTGACATTTGGGCATTTCAACCAGTAAAGGAGTTTCTGTGTGTCTGATATAAATTTGAATTCGGGGTATATTTGTGAAATGTTTGCGAAGTGTTTTTCTCTTAAATGTTTTATATTTAGGGCATGAGGTTAGAAAGTGCAGCTCTGTCTCTACCTGTCCTCTGTCGCACTGGGACTGAGTCTCTCCTCTTGCGGTAGCCAGCTCTGTCTGTGGCGACCCTGTTCTATGGCCAGGCTGTGTTCACTCAGTCTGTATGTTGTCAACTTTTTTCTTAGTTTAGGACATTTTATTGTGCTCAGGTAGTTTGCCAGTGTGAATTCTCTTTTTAGGGTCAGATGACATTGGAATTTACTTTGTGTTTTGGTTGTTTTTTTTCCAGTAACGACAAAAATTTCACACAAATTTAACACATGCTGTACAAACAGAACGTGCAAGTCAGTAAAAATATTTCAAATTGTAATGGCTTTAACCCAGGCCAGCAAGTCTGTACAATAATCTCAATAATCAGTAATCTGTCTACACAGAGGCTCTGTTCTGGAAGAAAATGCGTCTTTGCAAATCTGATAATTGGACATACATAAATGTGATTGTTCAAGTTCAAGTTCAAGTTCATTTTTATTTATATAGCACATTTTATAGCAGCCAATGACTGACCAAAGTGCTTTACAGAACAACAAAATTAAAAGACACTAACACCATGCATAGCAGCACATCATAGAACAGTACAGCAAAGATAAGAACAGCTTAGAACGGAAGAAGCACAAGCAATCATAGAGTTATCAAAAATAAACAACAGAAAGGACATATAAACATACACACACACACATATACATATAGGTATATGTATATACAAAGATACTCATACATAAACAACCTTAATTATAGGCCAAAGAAAACAAGTGCGTTTTTAAAAGTGACTTAAAAGAGATCACAGAAGGGGCTATCCTAACGTCTAAGGGCAAATTGTTCCACAGCCGAGGCCCAACCACAGAAAAAGCTCGATCCCCTCTGCGTTTAAGTCTGCAGTGAGGGACTTGTAACAGATTTTGTTCGCCTGATCTGAGACTTCTCGATGGAGTATACGGTTGTAGCAGTTCAGTTAGGTAGCTAGGTGCTTGGTTGCATAAAGCTTTGTACACAAATAACAGGATTTTAAACTCAGTTCTGAAATTAACGGGCAACCAATGAAGAGACCGCAGAATTGGGGTGATATGATCACTTTTACGACTATTTGTGAGGAATCTTGCGGCGGCATTTTGCACCAATTGCAGACGAGCAGTTTGGGATTTCGAGATACCACAGTAAAGTGAATTGCAGTAATCTACACGTGTGGTGATAAAAGCATGAACAGCCATCTCAAGAGTTTTAGGATTAAGAAAAGGTTTGACTTTTGACAAGAGACGTAGGTGATAAAAACTAGAGCTTATTACCGAGGAGATTTGTTTATCAAAATTTAAAGACTCATCCAGTAGAACGCCCAGGTTCCGAACACTTGAGGATCTAAACGCCGCTAGTCTGCCTAGGTCGAGGGTGGCAGCCTGGGGATTAACAGTGGGCCCGAAAACAATGATCTCTGTTTTGGTTTCATTTAAAAACAAAAAATTTTGGTCCAGCCAAAATTTTACTTCATCTAGACAGCCTAAGAATGATGAAAGGGCAGAGGGATCATTTCTCTTGATTGGAACGTACATTTGGGTGTCGTCTGCATAACAGTGAAAAGATACCCCATGTCTTCTTAGAATGTTGCCCAGCGGTAACATGTAGAGGGAAAAGAGAGAAGGCGCTAAGATAGATCCTTGAGGAAGGCCACAGGTTAGAGGCGCAACAGACGATGAGCAATTTCCTAGCTTTACTCTGAAAGTACGACCCGAGAGATAAGACTGGAACCACTGGAGGACGATGCCTTTTAGCCCCACATCACATTCTAGTCTGGATATCAGGATGGAGTGGTCGATCGTATCAAAAGCTGCCGACAGATCCAGAAGAATAAGAGCCACAGAATCACCAGTGTCAGTGGAACGATAGATGTCATTTAAAACTCTCAGCAGAGCAGATTCAGTACTGTGAGCAGACTTAAAACCAGATTGAAATTTTTCAGAAATATCATTGCGTTTTAGAAAGATCTGGAGTTGGTCAAGCACAACTTTTTCTAACACCTTAGAGACAAAAGGCAAAACAGAGATAGGGCGGAAGTTATTTAACACGGTAGGATCCAGTGAGGGCTTCTTGAGTAACGGAGTGACAGTGGCCTCCTTAAGGGCAGCAGGGATTGTACATTTTATACATATTTGTAGCAATGTGATATCTAATTACACACACACACAGTCATACCTGCAGAACTACAGTGCAGGTGGAAGCCAGCAAAGCTCCTCTTCAGTCAAAACCTGCTATCTGAAGTTTCCCTCTTTTGGCTCTTTCAAAGACAATTAAGCAACCATTTATTATTATTATTATTTTATTATTATTATAAATCAAACTATTGGAAATTTAAAGATGGTGTATTTTAGTCTTCGTCATAGAAGTTCTTAAGCTTCAGCCACTTCAGGCCACTTCCCTTCTAAATCCAGCTCACTTTATATCTGAATCCAAGGATCAAGAATAAAGGCATTATTTTTATCATTATATCATTATACAACACAAGGTTGTATAACAAAAGTTTGTAGTCCCTTCTTGCTGACAAACACATATCTTAACATATAATTAAATGTATATTAAAATATGGTAACATAAATAAATAAAAATAAAACAATAAGTTAAATACAGTACAGTTATTTATACTGTATACATAGGCGACACATATACAACCAGAACATTCTGAAGTGCAGCTTCTGGTTGTGAACCTTCACTCCATCACTCACTAACCTCTCTAAGTCAAGCAGCAGGAAAGTCAAGAAATTGTTCTTTAGTTTGCAACTGACCACGAGACTTGTTCAGTCTATCTATCTACTGAATCAAATATGAGCAGTGACTCTATAATTTGTGTCATTCAGGTTCTCACTGTATCCAGTTCTGTGCCTCCTAAAGTTTCTGCAGCTCTGTCTGCTGCTGAGGAGGCCCGATGTTCCCTGGAGGACCTGCTGCAGCGAGAGCAATCTGTGTCCAACAAATTGAACGAGGTAAAGACTCCGCCAAGAAAGCAGAGAAAAAAAGTACTATTTGAATGAACGAACAAGGCAGCAGTGTGTGGTTATTCACTGATAATGGACTCTCTATTAGCACAAATATCTAACTTCATTGAGTACTTTATTTTCTGATCATACACAAGTACACAAAGCAAGCCAAACATCTCCGGTGGTCACCCAATGATCAGTGTTTCGTGTTGTCACACTAAAGGATTTAATAACTTTAGACCTTGGAAATAGTAGTTAGCAATGTCCACAACACTATAACATCTATTACAGGTCTGTATTATGGCTTTTCATAAGACAGTATAAAGGTGACATTTCTGTTTGAATCAGAAATGATCTGATCTAAGTAACAATCTGACTATAAACTATATAACCTAGCCTGCAGGGCTGTTATAAGGCTGCTGTTTATTACATAGATAGATTTTATAGGTCAGTTCTGATTTCTAACACTGCTGCCACTGTGGTGAGAATTAAAAAGGGCTTTAGACCTTGGCATGGCAGCTGTCAAAGTGTTCTGTAATTATAAAGGGTTATGAGGTGCTAGAGCTGATCCCAGCTGATATATATATATATATATATATATTTTTTTTTACAAGAGTCACTTCCAAATGTTTCCATTATGTTAATTTAACAGAGAGATGAAGCCAGCCAGCAATATTCCAGACTCAACATCTCACAGAGACCTTCCACGTGCACCATTCTGGGAGGTATAATCAATTGTTTGTTAATGTTAATGTTAATGTTAATGTGTCTCCCAGCACCTACAGGAGGCCCAGCCTTGGATGGATAGCCTCGGTGAGACGCTTAAACAAGTCGACATTATAGAGAGTCACATGAAATACCTACGCTGCCTTCAACATATAGAGGAACTCAGGTACTGTGAATGAGGGTAAGGGGATGAAGACACTGATTTAGTTATCAAAGAGAGAGAGATATGACAGATGTGGGAACCGAGAACGGAGACATAAATAAACAGCAGAATTGAAAAAATAAAGAACCGTGAAAGCAAAACAGGCTGAATTACTGTGGATTAGTAGTCTAATGCGTTAACTGTAATTTTATGGTTTTCAAATTTGGAAAAACAGGTAGTCAAATCTACCATTACTTCTCTATATGTTCAAATCATGCTAAAATAGACATGCCATGTGAAATTTCATTGTACCCGAGTGTAGGGCTGGACAATAAAACAATAACAATAATTATCGCATTATAATTTTTTTCAATAACAATATAACAAATTTTCAATAACTATTCAATGAATGTTTGATTTTATTCACTTGAATAATACACTAATTAGGACTTTTTATCATGTTAACGTTTTTCCCCATATCGTACAGCCCTACCCGAGTATAATGACAATAAACATAATTATTTTATTCATTAGTTACTGAAGTCACAAACTTGTTGCTTGATTAAAACTGGTTGAACTGAAGAATGAGGAATACATGTAAAAATAAATGACATCTTTGGGCAGAGTGAAAGAGCAACTTAAAATGACCATTGAAAAATGAATGCAGAATTGTTGTTGTTTTTAAAAGTTAAAAATTCAAAAGAAAAAGCAGCCGTTTTGAGCAGTGCTCTAGAAAAACGCCTCATGTTACAGACCAAAGGGAGTTGTTATCCCTGAATCTGCCTCAGCTCAGTGTGCGGTAGTATGTGGTAGCGAGTCTGAGCGGTTGTAATTAAGTGAGTCTGTCTTTTTCCAGTAGTTTAACATTGCATTTCATCATTTATCAACTTGGAGAATAATTACGTTTGTGCAGGTTGCACAAACTCCAGCCTGTCAGGACGTCCAGTACACAGTTCTACTAACAGGAAAAGGACTGGCGCTGGCTCTCGTGCCCTGGTATGTTTTGTGTAGGTGAAGAGACGGGACTTTACTGCTGCATCTGTAACAGAAAACACGATCGGAGGATTATTTTCTCATCAATTTGACTGAGTTTAGGTTTGAAATGTCAGCCTGGACAGCTACTGTGGTTTCTTCAGTACACGTCACATATCACGGATCCGTCAGATATTCCGCTCGACCACAACGTGGACTGCACTGTAAATATTATTTTTAAGGTTTGCTAACTTCCAAATTAGGGTTAGGTACAACACCGTAAAATGTAGTCTGGTCCATCAAATGGGTGTGAATTAGGTCAGCTTGATGATAGCAAAAATCATAATCACGATTACTAACACGATTATTGATTGACTTAGGAAACATCATTCATTTATTGAACTTTTAAAATGATAATGAAATTCAACCGCGGGGTTCTGTCGGGAGATGCAGTTACTTACCAATGGTGAGGAAAGTAAATCCGGTAATACGTTAGAAGACGGGGACATGTCAATTATTTTACAAGCACAGACCAGATAAAGCAAGGCTTAACACCGATTTAGTATAAGCATATATAATGTGTAAATTATTAAGCTGTGAGTAGAGGAAAAGTCTGCTAGCCGCTAAGCTAATTTATGCAGTGTAAAATGTCATAAGCTGATAATGGTGCCTAAGAAGTTGTGGCAGTTATAACTCATGTCATCTTAGGCTTGGACAATATAAGAATAATTATCACAATATAATTTATTTCAATAACAATATAACAAATGATCAATAAATATTCAATAAATGTTTGATTTTATTCACTTGAATCATACATGCATTAGAACTTCATTTTGTGCTGTAATTAAAAGGTGCGCTGGATTTATGACACAGGACAGATGTGGTGCAATAATCTCCAAACTGCTTGTTTTTTTTCTCCTGCATCACCCCATCCTCATTTTAATTAAAAAAATATTATGCTGAGTTTTAATCTGACCAAAAAGGGTTCTCCCTCTCTGTGACTGCTGTGGGCTGTAATGTGTAAAGTGTTGTGTGTTTGCAGCGCTGCAGTACAGCAGTGCCTGATGACCAGCAGTGTCTGGGAGGCCATCCGGGCAGTAGACAGCATGGCTGTGCTGGACGCTGGACTAAACCAGTCTGGGTGTTCTCACCTCCAGGACTTCCTCCGTGAAACACTTCACTTCTGGCACAAGATCATCAAAGACCGACTGGCCAGGTATAACCCCACCCAGGGCACACATGCAAAGATACAAGTTATCAATGTATCGTTGTCCTAAATCCTTCTCTTCAATTCTTTCATAGTGATTTTGAGAAAGTATTGACTCAACTTCATTGGCCGATCATCTCCCCTCCTACTCAGTCCCTGACACCTGTTGCCAACTGTCAGGAGATCAACAGCCAGCTGGAGCTGCTTGTCCCACAGCTGCTTGCCCTGCAGACCTCGTATCCTTCAGTTTGGGCTTCTACACATATATGTTCTGTACACATCATTACCTTCACACATACACAAACTCTGTCTCAAACTAATTAAATTCATATCCAACTACTTTGCGTTGGCTTATATGCTTTGGAGGAAACGTAGTGGCACCTGGATTACAGTCTTTAGCCACACTACTGGTGTGGCTGTAGGGAGGGCAGTGTCTGTTGGTAGTCAAGAGTAAAATATTATGACAAATACCAGAAGGTCAATGAAATACCTTCACATCCACCAGATGGGTTGGGGCAAAACTTGGTACAGACGTTTGTGCTTTCCAGACGGTGTATCCCAGTGACTTTATTGATCCCCTGACTTTTTATCAAGCGCCACGAGCAGGTTGACATTTTTGGTTCACAGTAAGATGTTTTGGCAAGTTTTGGATGGATTGCCTTGAAATTTCCATGCTGATGAGAATGTTCAGGAAGAAGTATGAGATGACATAGAAAGAGGGTGACAGGGCGGTGACATGACACGGGGTCCCCAGCAGGATTCCAACGAAGGACGATGTCGATTTGGAACACTGCAGGTGCTCCGGTGTTTGGTTTCTTTAACTTCCTCTGGCAGTGATGACCTCGTGTCCCAGAGGGCTTTGGCCTCCCGTGCACCCTCTACCCAGCCGGTTCCTTCCGCCACACCTGCGTCCCAAGCTCCTCCCCTCTGTCTTCCCATCCAGATCTTGCTGACGCCGCTCAGCAGGAGATTCAAATACCACTTCTATGGGAATCGGCAGACCAACTCCCTCAGCAAGGTCTGTCACACACAGAATCACATATACACACACGTGTATGTCTGTTATTTTTACTTCTGCAAGGACAGCGAACTGGATCAGAGAGAGATGAGTCGTCTCCACAGAGGATAAAAAAACAAAAAGTATTGGCAAAGTTTTAGATGCTGATGCTGCTCCTCTATCCGTTCATCTTTCAGCCAGAGTGGTACCTTACACAGGTTCTGATGTGGATGAGTAACAGCTCGACCTTCTTGGAGGAAAAGATCCAACCTATACTTGACCGAGCTGGGGCCAACATCAGTGCCAGGGTATGCTGTTCTCTAATGGGCTCTACTTGACTGCTTTGACCCCTCCCCTTCCTGAAAAAACTGTTTTGACTGCACTTAACCAGTCTGATTTCAACCAGACCAGAATACTGTTTCTGTATTTATTGTACTAAAAAAGAACATAGAATAACGTTTGAAATGGAAAATGAATCATGTGTCACTTACAAGTATATGATGTGATGTCATACATTTTAAAACAATTGTCATTTGATTAGGAACTGTGATAAACCTCCAGGTAGAATATTTCATCAGGTTATCTGTGCCACTGTGTTTATTTAACACCAAAAAACGACCTCAAGAAGGTGTTACTGAAGAATCGACAAATAAAACCGGTAAATTCCCGTTGTCTTGACTGTGTAGGTGGAGCTGTGTCGAGGCCTGCTGTCTCTAGTCCAGGAGAAGGTGGCCAGCGATGCCTCCAGGCTGCTGTATGATGACATGCTCTTCTGTCACTTGGTGGAGGAGGTGCTGCAGTTTGAGAAGGAGCTGCGGAGCAACCAGTCCTACCCAGCAGTGCTGCCTGGTCTGCTTCACCTCCTGCTTGAGGACGCAATCCTTCAGAAGTGGCTCACTGTGGAAAAGAAGAGTAGGTTGTGAAGAATGAGGGTGCTCAGCTGCACGACTTAATGTAGAATAAGTGTCATCTTTCACTCCCAATTTTGCATTAGTAGTCTAAAGTGTATTTTAGTTATTCTATGATTATTAAGTCACTTTATTATTAGGTCATCTACAATTTATGTTCCTAATAAAATGAGCCCTTGGCAATTTTACTGCAGGCTAATTTCATCACCTGTTGTTGAAATGCAGTGTTGCAGCAAACTTCTTGTACCGATGACACTGCAGTTATAGTCTGTTTAATTTATTTTTTTATTTTTTTTACTTTACAGTGCCTAATTTTGCTTCTGGGTTCCCTGGAAAACATAATTTGTGCCTGACAAAAAGGCCTATTGATGGATTTGTGTTGTTCTCCATTCATATTTTGTCACATCTACGCAGGGTTTATCCAGCCACCAAACTACTATTTTTATTTTATATTTTAATTCTTCAATTCATTTAGTCATATTTATATACTTGTTTGACACCATACAAACTACTCCACTCACATATGTAGACAAAAGATGGCTGTAAATATTAGGGCAGCGGCTGTTTCAGCTCGGGTTAACTGCAGTAAAAGTAGGTTCTAAGTATAGAAAAACCCTCCAAATTGCTGCAAGAACTCTTTTTTTTGGATGTTTTGACTGTTTCTTTTTACTGGGAAACTGGCTTATCATTGGACATTATTGGACTACCAAAAAAATATGTTTTCAGCATTGTTTGATAATGCTTAATGTATACATAAAAATAATATTTTGCATTATTGATTAACAGACAGGCAGATTTGGCCGATGACGAGATTGCAGGTTGATCTACCTAGACTTCTTCTCACTCTGCTGCTGTACAGTTGGACTGTGGTAATATCAGGAAATAAACGAGAACGTGACAGCGCTGTCACATGCTAATAAGGACCTTTAGTGTCACAGTTAGTTTATGTTACAGAGTGGAATAAACAGTATATTTTTATGAAATTACTACCTCACCACCCGTCTGCTTCAACCTCATCAACAAACCATCATTTTATATTGCCATCCATAAAACACTCTACATCTCTATTAATTAGGTCCTGATCAAGACTTTTTATTTGGCCCCAACCCCGATCCTTAAAATATTGAGTATCTGCTGATACTGATTCCAATCAATACTTATTATTATTTACTTAAAGCTCAGGTAGGTAATTTGTTATAGAAGAATTTTTGAGATTGCATAATATACAATCCCAAACATACCACAAGTCAATTCAGATATGCAGTCTGCGTGGTCTCTGTGCGTTTGCTCAAGAACAGTGAAAAATCATCATACCCCTGTATTCCTCTGTATGTACAGTGGCGGTGGAGAAGATGGATGCCATGCTGTCGGCTGAGGGAGCTTGGAGCTCTCAGTACAAAGATATCAGTGATATGGATGAGCTGAAGGCTCCAGATTGTGCTGAGACGTTCATGACCCTGCTACAGGTCATCACTGGTAAGACAACATTTCAGCGAGTCTCATGTCTCACTGTCAGTGCGCCCAATTTCATTCAATTTTATACATGTTTTTTTCTGACATATTTTGCATTACCTTGCAATACATTTGCATTCCCTTTGATTCATAGCAGACTACAATCTGACAGCAGCGTGGAGCAGGCAGGTGGTTGGTTAAGAAGCTAAAACCAGCTTAGATTTTATAGAAGGAGCTGGAGATGAGGACCAAATTTTGTATCTCGTCTCATTGATTTGTTTTTCTGCCGAATTGTCAAAGAATTGTGTTGATTGTTGCTGATGAAGCAAGAGAAACAGGCCAAACTGAATCCAGGGAACTAGAAAGGGCTGTGTTTGAGTCACTGGTAGAATTTTCAACAGGGATGTGAAATGAGCCAGGACCAAGTGTAGTTAAAGTTGATGAGTGGTGAGTACATCAATGACAGGCTAGTGTCGCTACCTATTTAATTAGAAAGTGATCTGACACCACGGATGTGATAGGAGAGACAGACCGAGCAGAAACCTCTAAAACATCAAGTTTGGAGGTTAAATTTAAAATGGACTAACCAAACCCACACCTTGTTTAGTAGCCCGAGCAACATGGGCGTCGTTATAGAAGGGATGATGGTATATACTGTGCAAGAGTAGACATGTTTTGGGTAGAGATCTGGCAATATTGTTTCCACCGTGGGAGCTATGTAGCAAATCAGGTGTTCTTGCATGATCTCACAAATCCAGCTGCCTCGCAAGGTAACAGGATTTGGGCAGCAAGACTGCTTAACACACGTGACGTGAAAGGGACAGCTGCGCTAAGGCATCTCTAAGATGGTTTGCCAGCTGCTGCAGAGAGAGTGAATAGTGAGAAGCAGTTGACAGGAATGTAGGTCATGTCACCTGCAAGCCCGTGAAATGTGTGTCCAAAACGGGGACCTGCAACTTAACATCACTCCATAGCATTACAAGTGGTCAAAAACTTCACGTATGCTCTTAAAGCATCTAAAAATGTTTGAATAAATGTCTTGTGTTTTTTGTCATCCTGCTGCACAGAGCGGTACCGAGCTTTGCCCTGTCCTTCTGCGCAACTGAAGTTCCTGGGGCTACAGAGAGAACTGGTAGATGACTTCCGTATACGACTCACCCAGGTAATAATGAGGAAGACACTCTACACTGGTATCAATGGAGAGAAAAAAACCACTAAAACAATAAAGGAAAGGTAAGCGTTTCAGAAACCCTCTTAAAGAAGGAGAGAGGCGCTAACTAGGTTGCGTGTTTTAAGAATGGAAGGCATAATAAGCTATATTTTCAGCCTGAATGCTTTTGCTCAGTAAAAAAATTTTTGTTGAATTGTCCTCCATTTTTATGGACTGAAATCAATTAAATCTTTGAAAGAGCGGAAGGGCAAGAGAAAAATTAATGAGACAGCTGGTTGATTGATTATACATACATAGATTTATTTTTTTTTGCTTTCCAGGTGATGAAGGAGGAGTCTCGCTGCCCGCTGGGTGCCCGTTATTGTGCCATCCTTAATGCTGTCAACTACATTTGCACCATCCTGGGAGACTGGGGAGACAATGTGGTGGGTGGAGTTTATTTAAATGTATGAAATGTTTCAATTTCGTGTGTGCGCGCGTGTGCATGCGTGCAAAATATAGCCCTATAATTTTCAAGTGAGAACAAGCTGCACTGAGCTGCCAGAGGGCAGCCAGAAGAGAGTGACATTTTTGGTAATACCCTTTCACTGATATTTATGTGTTTACCAGTTCCTTTATTCTGTCTGCAGTTTTTCCTACAGCTGCAGCAGGCAGCAGTTTCACTTGGTGAGGAAGTTGTACTGGGGGGCCTAGGGGTGATGGAGGTGGGTCGTCTGGCTTCTCTGGAGGGCTCTCTATTTGAAGGTCTTTTGGCGTTGCTGGAACGACTTAAAGGAGACATGATGGGAAGACTGCTGGAATGGACCATCAGAGAAATCACAGAAAAAGCCAAACCATACCGCCAAGACAGGTGAGACATCAGCCTGGTGATGAGTACGACATCAACTGGTGTTTTAAAGATTATTATTATTATCAGGTTAGGACAGATATAAACTGTGTGAAATAATTTGTATGATGTATTTGAGTCATGTCGTGTGAAAAGTTAACAATGTTTTATATCACAAACACAATCAATGTGAAATATGACAATTCATTGATGGTCTCATGCTGCCCTCTGGTGGAGTGTCTGAGTGTAATGTAAAAATAACTTATGCTCAAGTGAGCATAAAGGTCTTGAGCTCCATGCCCACAATAGCAAGTGCAAGCCCAGATGAGGGCCAGCCTTTTAAGACCCTGAGCTCAGTACAAATGGTGACTTTGACAGCAACAGCACCTTATTTGCATTTGAATAGAAGCTGGATTACATAATGAAACATAATTTTAAATAAATCACTGGATCATTTAAGACAAAAGGTTTGCGTAACAATCAGTCAAACATAGTGAAAGTATAAGTAAAGTTATACTTTCACTACGTTTCTAAGGCCTTAGGGTTTAGAGCACATCTGGCAGTCAAATGTCTTTAAGTGCAGACAGGAGCTGTTTATTCCTGCATTTTGTGTTCCGTGCAGTTGTATTTGAGATGTACATTTTAAATGAAGCAGTGTATTCTTTATGAAACTGCTTGAACAAAACATGATGGCAATTTATCCCTTAAAGTCATGGGAGATAAATTGTAATCTCAATTCTGAGTGAAAACAATTGGGATTCTCATTTTGAAAACTGTGCAGCTGTACTATAGCTCAGGACAGTTGATGCATTAAAATGTAGGACTAGAGAGAGTTGGAGCTGTGATTGCCTACCGAACTATTATTTATTTTCCTGACATTTTGAGTTTGGATGGAGCTGCACAAAAGCTATCCCTTCCCATCATTCCGTTTCATCACATGTTATATTCAAAGCGAGCGGAGGCCGACTATTTGACATAAACTCTCAAATCAATTTTGCTTTGAGCTGTTTTAACCAAATTTGGTGCAGATGTTCACAGGCTAACTCGGAGTTGTGCTGCATAATCTTGGGACATTTTGCCTTTAGGAGGATTTCTTCAGAATAGCTTACTCCACCTTTAATCCCCTTGGTACTTTGCCTGTGCTGTTTAAAAAAATAGATTATTTCCTCTTCCCAGTGTTTTTGTTCTATAAAATTTCAAATACAAAAATAAAGCTTTGCACTGATCTATTCTCTTTCTTTTCATCTTTACTTTTCTTTAGGTGGCTGTCCCTACCATCCCAGCACGACCAGTCCGCCATGTCCCTGTCCAGCTCAGCATGTCCCATGATGCTCTGTGTGAGGGACAGATTGTTGAACCTTCATCAGGTCCTGAGTCTTTCTCTGTTCCAACTGGCCTGGCAGGGCCTGGCGGAGAGACTTGACAACTTTCTTTACCAGGATGTAAGAGATGAAAGCCCTACTGTGTGTTGACCTGTAGTTTTAAATTATCCAAGCATTCTACAACATCCTTGGGGTGGCACATAAGTCTACAGCAAGGGTCTACTGGTTCCGTTATAATGTTGGCGACTAAACAGCTGACCCATGTGGTTTCCTAGCCGTGCAGTTCCAATGAAATAGTTGTCAACATATCCATGTGTCTCTCTGTCAGGTGATCCTGTCTAATCATTTCAGTGACGGTGGGGCAGCTCAGCTTCAGTTCGACATGACCAGAAACCTATTTCCTCTGTTTGGTCACTACTGCAAAAGACCTGAGAACTTCTTTAAGCAGTAAGTGCGAGTGAGAGAATGATGAGGCTCAACTTGTTCACGTGTACCTCTTTTCTCAGTGCTACAGCTGTCCGTGCTAGTATTATAACTAATAACAAGTATTATATTATTAAGTCTCTTTGTTTTTTCATGTGCGGATGGGTGGCTATTATGGAAATTTTTTAACTATGTCTGTGGTAGCACTGAGAAAGTCACACATCTAGAATAGAAATGCAGGCGAAACTTAAAGAAGAGTGTTTGGCTTTTACAAAAGGCATGTGATGTGGAAACATGGGAGAAGATGTGCTTAAGAATTGTATCTAGTAAACTTATTTTATGGAAAACCCCAAATCAGATGCCAAATACACTGCAAAAACTGATCACTCAAAAACAAGGGGGGAAAAAGCCTTAAAATGGGGGAAATATTACTTAAAATAAGATAAATTATCTGCCAACTGAACAAGAATATTTCACTTGCTACTTAAGGACAAAAAAAACTTGCAAAAACATAAAAGCTGCCTGGTAAGAAGAAATATCTTGTCTTATTTTGCCTTCAGTTAAGATAATTAATCCTACTTAGATTTTAGTTTTTGCAGTGTATTAGTCACAGCCGATCATTTTTAAAACGTGTCTTTAAGATTGAGACTCACTTCAGTTCTGGGGTTGTGACCAGAATTAGGCAACACAGTCATGACCATGTTGTTTTTCTCTGTTCTCCCAGGGTGAATATTGTAGCAGCTCAGCACTCTTAAATGAATAATAATAGAGTTGCACCACTGATGAAAAAGCACTTTCCTTTGCATCAGATTGGATTGTAATGAGCATATAGCCAAACTAAGAACATGATAAGAAAACACTGAGCCACTCTGTCTCCATCTGCTCTCTTTATCTGTCCGCAGTGTGAAGGAGGCCTGTATCATCTTGTGTCTCAACGTCGGCTCTGCTATTCTGCTAAAGAATCTCCTGAAGGAGTCGGAGGAGGAGACGACAGGTTGGACAGATGCAGGAGATCCTTCACCACAGTCTGCACTGAATGAGTTGGGAGTTTACTGCCTGGCACCCTGTGACGTGTTGATTCTCCTCAGCCTCAGAGCCTCCTGGCCGGGACAGTAACAGTTCTCCCCGGCAGTATGTGTTGGGGTGGAGTGTGCATCAGACCGAGTGCTTGGCAATTGTTTCTTATTCCATTTTTGCCATTAGTACGACGGAGTATGAAGGCCCACATTAGGGGAGGTGGTGAGATGAAGATTTTTTTTATTTATTTAGCATTTCGAGAAGAAAGTCAACTCCTTTAGTCCATCAAATCCAGTTACAGTGACTGTCCACCATGCCATCTGCTCTGTAAGCTACATCATAGACATAGGCCTGTAGGTTACATCCTTGGAGTGTGAAGGCAAGTTTTTTAAGAGGTGCAACTGTATTCCTAACTGAAAGCAAAAGCTGTCAGTGATGTAGCCGACATGACAGCTGGCTGGCATGGTCACTCTAACGTGATTTGATGGCCTAAAGGAGTTGACTTTCTTCTTGATACGCAAAATAAATTAAAACCAATTTATTTTTTTTTCTCTTAATGAGGCCCTAATACTTACATCATCATTAGCATTAGTCTTCTTTGTAAAGAAGACAGGTAACATTCGTCAGTTTAGTGTTTAATAAGTTTATATTATTGAGATGTCATTGCATGAACTCGCCGACCTGCAATGCTCTCGCCTTCAGTTGCCCCGCAACTACTGGTTAATGGGGTTGTCTTTGTTTTTGTGTGTCACTGAGAGTGTGTGTGTGTGTTTGATAACCTAACCATCAGGGCTAATTGGTTGATACTTACATTTCCCTGAAAGACACAGCTGCCCAGTGTTGCGCTCATGATATAAATGAAAGGTGCACTGTGGACTTAAAACATAACAAGTTTCTGTTTATATTCAGTGTTGCTCACTACAACGCATGGTGTGTATCCTTGAGGTCTAGTGGACATGTTGATGCACTTCCTTCATCATAAAACATTTGCAAAGCCAATAAAAAACAAACCCACGTGTCTGCATTGTTTGCATCCATGTTTGCTCGCTAGCAGTCGACTTCTTCCCTGATATGAGATATAGAAGGCCCATGTCTGGATCTGCAATACCGGCAGACGATGTCAGATTCTCTCAGATATTTTTTTAAATCACAAGTTGCAGCCGTTTGAGAGTAAAAACAAAAGTCAAATGAAAAGTCCCAATAAACTGTGTGAGAGCGATACATACTCTCTAGGAAGCACATGCTGGATGTGTACGTTTACTGGCTGAGTGTCAGGGGGGTAACGCACCCAGAATGTTGCGAGACCAACAGGTGCACGCGGGGTCTGGCTCAGGAATGTTTAAATGCTGAAGTGCTCAGTGTGGATCCTCCAAGTGGCTTCTGCATTCACATGCATTTAAATCAAAGAATAGCATAGGTGTTCTTCCCCAGGCTCTGTGCATGTTCCCATGGTGCATCACGTGACTCTACTGCACAAAATGGACCAATCACATGCTGCCTACTTCGGTTTAGAGGAACAGGTCGTTATAACAGAGCTATGAAGAATATATTTTAAAATATTACAAAAAAACCACTGTTGCTGCAAATAAAGCGAGAGAGGAATGTTAGCTGAAAAGTGTTAGCCGACTCGATGCCTGTTTATTTCTAACGTGACAGCTGCACGTCGTAGAGCTCCTAAACTTTAAACTTGATACAACATATTTAAACATTATACTAATGACAGTAATCCAGTTGTTTTTAAATGTGCTGCAAATGAAATAAAGCTAATAAACAAGTTGGGTCTGTGGCTGACCTCGTGTCTCTAACTGTCACTAAACAAAATGTAAGAAACTGATACCCAGAAATCCATTTATTAAAAATGCACAGTGGCAGATAGCCAACCTGATGGGTTTTAAATAGTATTTCCTCCATATGGAGGTTATGTCACTTATAATATAATCCAACAGATTAAAGAACTTTAATTTCTAGAAAATGCGAATGCTGTTTTATCTTTGTATAAAATGTGTCCTATTAGATTATTTAAAGTTGTTTAATTGTATGTTGCATCTTCTGTACGTACAACTATAACACTTCTTCCACAAAGACCTGCTGACCTACAACATGCTGCCAGAAATTCTTTTCCCTTGTTTATTTCGGTGGTTTATTTGTTTTTGCTGTAATATTTTGTTGCTTTGTGTATACAAACATGACAGGTTTTCCTTAACATCAGCGTTTTCTTCACTGTGGATCGGTATGATCAGTGCTTGATGTCTGAGACGTGAAATAAATCTGACTCCACAGTCTGCGCACGTTGAAACAAACTGATCCTGGTTCAGTTTGTTAGATTAACTGGAAACCGTTTTTTAACAATAAGGCCTGCGATTCTGAGTGCAGCTTATTCAGAGTTATCTGGATTAAGAACAAGACTTTTCAAGTTGAACCCCAAACATGCTTCTTTTCACCAGTAGCAAAATATTAATCTAATTGTGATTTCAGATGAGAATGTGTAGGTTAAAGAGAAGCCGTCTATTAGAGTGAACAGATCTGTTGGTAAGATTTTACAATTTAATTTTCATAAAAATGATTTAAACAACTATGTGTGATGAAATGAAATACAATAAAACTAAATCAGCTCATGTAAAACAAACAAACAAAAAAAAACATATAATTTGCAACATTATGAGCAAAAGAAACAACTTCAACTTTCTGACTAATCAGACCGACTGAACCAGAGAACATGGCGTTTAATTATGAAAATTTGAAGGAATTAACAGGATTATTTCAGCTGGCTAATGGGTTAGCCTGAACTGATTCAAGAAAATCACAAATGTGCCTCATGAAAGCACAAAAAGCTTGTAGGCCAAACTGATGTGTGTCAGCTCATCAAAACAGGGGCCAAACACAAAGTGATCCAGTGTTCCACCTAAACACATCCTGTACGAGAGGTCCTACGTTCAGATGATGGCCGGGCTGGATGAGGTAATCACATACTGTGTTCTAGCTCCAAAGGCACTTTTGCAGCTTTGACCTTTAACTGTACAAAATAATATTTACTGTTCTCATACGGATCAGCATCAGGACGATCTGCATCTCTCCACACAGGAGTTTTCTGCTCTCATAGTCTGTGCAGTGCACACAAGGCAGAGGTTTTGTCATTGGTCGGTTTTACCCACATCACCTCAGAGGTCAAAGAAATTCAATCTGCAGCCAAAAGTCTGTCTGGGCAACTTTTCTACTCTCCTTGTTGATCAACAACCTGGATGTTGGCTTTCTTCGTCTTGCCTTTGTCTCCAGGTAATTTGAGGTTCTGCTCTGTGATGCCGTTCTCCTCGCCAGAGTCTGACTCCTCCTCGGAGTCCGAAGTCTCCTCTTCCTCTCCAGAGTCGCTGTCTGACCCGCTGAGATCCACCAGCGCTACGTCCTGAGGACAAGAAGAAGAAGACCTCATGTGACTCAATCAAAGCTTACAACTAAAAGGAGCCTCCCTTAAATGTTTAAATGTACGTTTGGAGTTTTCTAGTTCACCAGAAGGAGGCAGGAAAGCTTTAGCTCTACCAGCAGACTCACCATCTCTATGACCCTCTCTGCCTCTTCCACGCTCTCTATATCAAAGCATCCAGCAGGAGCGTCCTCCATCTGCTGCTTCAGCTTTTCATTGGCCTCGGCCATCTGAGGCAGGAAGCTCTGCAGCCGCTCCAGCACTGATGCGCAACAAAACACATCATCACACCTCTGTCTCAAATGAATTAGTTGTACTGCAAATCACAAGTACTGTTCAGTAATACCCAAACAGTAACTAAAACTGCAGAAAAGTGATGCTTGGTCTCACCGCTGCTTC